GTTTTTTCCCCTCCTGACAGATGCGCGGGGCGGGGGCCCCCGGCGGCCGGGCGCCGGCCCTCGCGGCTCCTGGAAGAAGGCGCCCTGGTCGCCGGCGTACGCCTCGACGTGCTCCCGGAAGCTGGCGTCCCTGCCGGGGCGCAGGGGGGCGCACTGTCGGGGGCGACGATGGGGGCGAGTATCGGCAGTGGACAAACCTCCCTTTAGTAAACCTCCCCTCAGCGAAAACGGCCTGGGACCGAAACCGACGGACCTGGACCCGCGAAAAGGACGGCCGCGACGCCCTCTCGCGAACCGAAAACGGCCAATTCGCTAATCGACGTGTCAGGGTAGGAGGTCTATCCACCTCCGAGAGTATCCCTGACGGGCCGCAGAGGGACGCACTGTCGGGGGCGACGATGGTAGGAAGCTGGGCGAGGGCTGCTATCGGGTTGGGCGAACGGGGGGGGTAGCAAAGGGGGGGGGGTTGAGAAGCAGCTCACGTAGCTGATTTTCCCGGCGCCTCCCGGCGCCGCAGGCGGCCATGTATAGAGAAATGGGCTCCTCGGTAGGGCCGAAACCAGCTGCCGGGGCGCAGAGGGACGCACTGTCGGGGGCGACGATGGGCTTCCGAGAAAAGTCTTTTGGGATATCCAGATCCCTGTCTTCATACTTTACCAGTTCGAAACACATCCCTGTCCTCATGTTTGGCATCACCCTACCTCGGTGCCGATCTCAGGGACAGGGATTGGGTCGAGGCTGGTTATCCAGTAGCGGTACCCGTCGGTCGCTGAAAGTCGAAAGCTGGGCGAGGGCTGCTAAAACCGTGGCTGCTAAAACGGCCCTCCCGGAAGGAAAAAACACAACTTCCAGGAATGCGGCGTGGCACGCGGAGCAGTCCACGGGCTTCTGCCCGGAAGGACGAAGACAGCTTCCCAGAGGTCGACTTTAGCAGCCACGGATTTCGCAGCCCTTGCCCGGCTTCCGAGATGGGGGCGAGTGGCCCATGGGGAGAGCGACATGAGCCGACGAGGTGCACTGTCGGGGGCGACGATGGGGGCGAATATCGGCAGTGGACAAACCTCCCCTCAGCGAAAACGGCCTGGGGCTGAAACCGACGGACCTGGACCCGCAAAAAGGGCGGCCGCGACGCCCCCTCGCGAACCGAAAACGGCCGATTCGCCCATGGGGAGAGCGACATGGGCCGACGAGATGCACTGTCGGGGGCGACGAGGGGCTTAACGGGCGAAGAACGGTATGAAATAAACTTTTTCGCCGTCGGGGACACCTGCCCCTGGGTGAAGTTTATAACCCTTATGGTGGCCCGTAGGGGTATAAACTTTCCAGCCGCCCAGGGGCAGGTGTCCCCGACGGCGAAAAAGTTGATTTCATACCGTTCTTCGCCCGTTAAAGGGGGGCGAGCAGCCCGTGGGGAGGCGCACCGTCGGGGGCGACGGTGGGGGGCGAGCACCTCCCAGCGCGCCGAGGAGAGCCGCGCCTCCCGCGAGGCTCCCGGGCGAACGCGTGCAGTGCCCGCCCCTCGGCCGGTGAGCCCCGGTCGCCGCCTCCGACGCACGGCGGGCTCGTGTCGTGACGGCCCCGGCGTTGGTTTCTGGCACCGCGTGGAGCGCTCAGCCTTCAGTAGGGGGCCACGTGCGAACCCTGCCCCTGCCCCCTACGAGTTCTGAGGGGGAGGGTGGGGCCCACTTTGTTCGGGAGCTCCCGAGCGAAGTGAACCCCACCCTCCCCCTCAGAAATCGTGGGGGGTATAGGGGTAGGGTCCGCACGTGGCCCCCTAACCGCGTGGATCCTTCAGCATTCCACGATCGGCGGCTTTCCTGCCGGCTCTGGGCCACGGGCGGCGCTCTCCACCAGGAGCGCCCGCGCAGGGGCCACAGCTGTGTGCCGGGCCCCTGCGTTTGAAGGGGCCACAGCTGTGTGCCGGGCGCTCCACCAGGCCCCTGCCGGGCCTGGTGCGGTGTGCCGATGTGCTTAAAGTGGCCCTGGGGCACACAGAGAAATACACACAAATAGCAGGGTTCCCCATATTTCCCCCCATTTTCAGGGTGTTCGGTCTTCCCCCCCACTTCCCATATCTTCCCATATCTGCTAGGGAATCGACGATTAATCGTGTCTGTGTGTGTGTTTTTGTTCCCTCCCGAGTGTTGGAGGCGTACGCCCGGCACGAACATGCAGCAGGCAGATCTGACAGCACAGCGTTTCCCAGGCCGCATGGCCAGCGAGCGCCCGCCACGAAGCTTGTGCTACGAGGCTTCGGAGCGCTTGCGGCTGGCGTCGCCCATGCGGGGCCGAAGCACACGTGGTGTGAGTACAATCAAAAACCCTAATAAGGACGCGCGGTGAGGACGCAAGACCGTTGGAATCCGAAGTTGGGATTATTGGGGCGGCGGACGACGAACGCCCCAAGGGTACCCTGACAAGCGGGCAAGCGAAAGAGGCCAAGGACGAGCCACAAGAGCAAGGAAGAGCAAGGACGCAAGGGTACCCTGAGCAAAGTCGCGCGTCCTTATTAGGGTTTTTGACTGTATGTTTGGGCGGTGCCGACCTCACCAGCGCCAGGTCGGATTCCCCCATGATCACGTGGGAGATGGGGCACCTGCCGGCCGTCGCTCGGAAGGGGGCCCGGGCTTGGATAGAAAGAACAGCAAGAAGCACAACAGCAGCAGCGGCAATTACAACAACAACAACAACAACCACAACAACAACAACAACGACAACAACAACAACAACAACAACAACAACAACAACAACAACAACAACAACAACAACAACAACAACAACAACAACAACAACAACAACAACACAACAACAACAACAACAACAACAACAACAACAACAACAACAACAACAACAACAACAACAACACGACGACGACGACGACGACGACGACGACGACGACGACGACGACGACGACGACGACACGACAACAACAACAACAACAACAACGACGACGACGACGACGACGACAACAACAACAACAACAACAACAACAACAAGAATGAGAAGAAAAAGAACAGCAACAACAGCAATAACAACAACAAGAAGAAGAACGACAACAACAATAACAGCAACAGCTACAATAACAGCAACAGCAACAGCAACAGCAACAGCAACAACAACAGCAACAACTCATGTTAAGACTGTTCGCTCTGACCTGCTCAACGCGTGCATCCCAAGCCCTCGGTACTCGCCCTCTTCGTCTTCGATCGTACCCCCCTGGGGGCATATCTTCCTTACCTGCCGCGTGTAATTGGCGCCGCCCTTGAAACAGGGGAAGAGAGGACGGATGGAAGGGGGGGAGAAGGATGGAGCACGGGATTAGCATGGGGCGGGGCTAGGAGCAGAAAACACGTGGCAGAACCAGACGGGTCTTTCGGGCGGGTAGACACTAATGGGCGGGTCGGGAAGCCGAGCTCAAGCGACCAGGTCGAGAAGGCGTGCTGCTGAAGTGTGAGTACGGCACGAATCGCCAGGAAAACTCGAGCGAGACCGCGATTCCCAAATTAATCGTGAGAAAAACAAAAGCGAGAGCGTGATTCCTGGGTGTCGAGGGCGCGGCGTCTGAATAAATTGCGAGGAAGTCCCACGCGAGAGCGCGATTCCTGTATAGATTGTGAGGACGTGCTGCGCGAGAGCGTGATCTTGGAAGAAACTGCAAGGAAGCATCAGGCGAGAGCCTTTCTTGCTATAGCTCGGGGGCCAGGGGCCTAGTTTTGTGACCCCCAGCTCTCCCTTGTGCAAAACAGGGTGCGAGCCCCAGGAGGAGCCCTTTAATTGAAAAAGTATAAGGTGCCCCGGAAGGTGAGATCAACGAGAATCACTCTCCAGCAATGAGAATTCAGCCACGACGAAGACGACGACAACGACAACTGCAACAACAATCATTTTGAGACTGTTCGCTCTTACTGGCACGGGTGTCTTGCATTCCTCATACCCCAACCCTCGATACCTGCCCACTCCGTCTTCGATTGCACCCCCTTTCGGGGGGAATCTCTTCCTTGTCGGCAACTGACTGACGTGCGAAGAAGTCTCGAGCGAGAGTGCCGTTCCTGAGTTCGGGGGCCTCTCTGGCCAGGGGCTCTCGGAATACCTATGGAGCAAAATATCGAACGGGAGCCCTTGTCGCCGTGTCCGGGCCTCCACCAACTTGCCGGAATTACGGAAAAGTCTCGAGCGAGAGCGCCGTTCCTGAGTTCGGGGGCCTTCTTGGCCAGGGGCTCTAGGAGTAAAACGTGAGGAAGTATCGAGCAGGAGCCCTGTCGTCGTGGCTGGACCTCTGCCAACTTACTTGCATTGCGAGGACGTCTCGAGCGAGAGCGCCGTTCCTGAGTTCTGGGGCCTCTCTGGCCAGGGTGACTCGGGATAAATTGTGGGGAAATAACGAGCGGGAGCCGTTTTTGTCGTAGCTGGGCCTCCAAGGGCCCACATTTCGGCTCAAGCCAACGCTCGAGCGGGAGCCTCGTTTTCAGAGAAAATGTAGCCGGCGTAGAGGCGAGAGCGCGCGGAACCGTTTCCGGAGATCAAAAATATGTATTGTTAAAAAATGAGTGTTCAACAATCATTGAAGACTGTTCGCTCCTATCTGCTCACGTGACAATCAAGACGCATATCCCAAACCCTCAGTACCCGCTCTTCTTTGATCGTACCCCCTTGGAGGTATATCCTCCTTACCTGCCACGCGCAGTTAGTGCATCCCCTAAAACAAGAGAAGAGAGGAGGGGTGGAAGGGGGAGGGAGAAGAATGGAGCACGGGAGAAATTAGCAGGAATTGGGGCAAGAAGCAGAAAACAAGTGGTAGAAGCAGACGGGCAGATCGGGTGGGCAGACCCATAGCGGGCAGGTCGGGAAGGCGGGCCCAGGCGACGAGGTCGAGCAGGCGGGCTGCTGAAGCAGCGTGGGTCCTGCAGGAGTCGCGAGGAAGTCTCGAGCGATAACGCGAATCCTAAGTAACTCGTGATAGAAGCCAAAGCTAGAGTGTGATTCCTGAGCGCCGAGGGCAC